TCTAACATGATGATGTCACAGAGGGGCGGAGATTTAAATGCTGTGAAATGTGAAGTCAGAGGAAAGCCAGAGAGGTAAGGAAACCAGCTATGGAACATATTTACACACATTTGCTTTTCATTGAGGCTAAGAGACAGAGAGCAAGACTTTGACCTGATAACATGAAGGATGAACATAGACTTTATGGGTTTTTTTTTTAGTATTATTTTATTAAGGAAATATACAGCCAACTTCTGGCAATACACATCAAGACAGCCTTATCAGGAATGATAGTTTTACTAAACTGCCAGTTTAAAATGTAATCTTGCTAATGAAAAAGTGCGGAAAGCCTGAGTTCCTTTAAATCAAGACTAAAAACACATTTGTTTAGGATTGCCTTCGACTGTTCTAGTTAAAAAGTTCAACTAAAACATATTTTCTTTAATCCAACTGTTTTTAATAAACTTTTTTTTCTGCATTTTTTATTTTATTTTATTTATTTTTTATGTATTTTTTTTCCTACTTGCTTTGATTCTGTTTTATCTTCCTGTATTTTAATCATGTAAAGCACTTTGCATTGTCTTTGTACTGAATTGTGCTATACAAATAAATTTGCCTTGCCTAATGATTTTATCTTGATTTCGAAGTAACATCCTTATTTACCTCTTTTCATATGGAGCTAAATTAGAACAATAAAGTGTTCTTAAAGCATTGATTTTTAAAATTGAAAAAAAAGTGCAACTGACAAAAAAATGTATTAAAAATATAAAAAAAAGATTTTAAATAAAAAAGAAATGTTTAAATCTTCTATTCCAGTTCATCTTTTGTTTCAAACTGCTGATCCCTCGGTCTGGGGGAGGGTCTTAGATGAGTGTATGGAGCTAAACTGGGTACATAAAATTGTTCAAAAACATAAAAAAATATTTTTAACTGAAAAGCATCTTTGAATCAAAAAGAGCAGTTTAAAGGTATAGTCTTTTGAAAAGACTGGCCCTATCCAGTTTTAAAAAAAAAGCACATGCACAACCCTGTACCCCCTCCTAAAGGGAACGCCTATTAAACAAGTGTAAGAGCGTGCACAAGTCCATTTTTCCTCGCACACTCTGTTTAACAGTTGCTGTTTGCATCTTCATTACAAGCATACTTTCTAAAAGAAGGTTTGCATTTTTTCCAAGGTCAGACTCACCACCAGAATGTGAAAATGGGGACGAGCCTGTAGGACGGCCTTATGTAAACATATCACCAGAATGATTGACAATTAAGAGGACCACTTATTTTAAAGATCCACCCAGAAAAAGAACATCCTCCACTATACCTTTAAACATTTTTTCTTCTACTTTCTGATATTTTTTGTGGCATTCAGGAACTGTGGGAACCAGGAACCGCGTTTCAAATGTTTGTTTGTTTTTTCAGTTTTGAAAGATTTTTTTTTTTTTTGGATTCACATATTTGGGGTTTTTCTTTCAGTTACAAAAACAATGTTTTTGGACAAACTTTATGGCCCCAATTTAGCTACATACATCCTTCCTGCACACTTAAATTTTTTTAGCCAGTGGTTCTTCAAGGATAAATATAAAGTTAAAAGAGCATTGAGCTATTTATAATGAACTGGTCTCTAAGTATAGCAGCAGAGTCTCCACACGCCCCTCACTCCAGTAGGTCTCCACCACGATGCTTCATTTTTTCATTATTCATTAGGGACACATATGTGTGGCGCGGTGGCTTCTGAAACAGGATTCCTCTAAAGCCCAACCCTACATCTGGAAAACCATGAAGCGCGGCCCGCTGACCACATCAGCTGCCTCTGCAGGATCACACAGCAATCCTTGTGAGCAGATGCTGGAGGGATTGCTCTCCATCATTATATTAAAAAAAAGGACCCAGTCTACAAATAGCAGAGCTGGAAATGCTGCTTACATTTACTGCCTTGTTTGACAGAGATGAGACTGAACTACAGGCGTCCATGGTGGATCAACGCAGCAGCTGTTTTCACAAAGTTTTAGTTTCCTGGAAATGTGTTCATACCTCCTAAACTTGTTCATGTTGTTACATGAGGCAAAAAATTTCATTAGGATTTTATATAAAAGCTTTTTACCATGCTCAGTTGGCAACGGATAACTCTATGGAGAGGAATTTGTTCCAATAGTATTGGAACTTCTCAATAAAAAAACAAGATTTTAAGAGTAATTTATAGTGTGTGCAATAAAATCAACATATGTTCTTACAATTTTCTTTTTTTTACATATATTTTGTCTTATTTCATTTTTTTATTTTATTTTACTTATTTTTTTTCTTTTTCATATTTTTATTTTGTGAGATTGAGTTTTAATGAATTGCATTCATTTCAAAACCTGTTTTCCAAATTTCTGCCTTGAAACTTCTGGGTGATTTCCGCATATGGTGTTAAATGGTTGCCACAAAGTTTGATCCAACTCATTATTTTAAAAATTGAAAAAAATTAAAAGAAAAACAGAAAAAAAATATTTAAAAATTTGAAATGTATTTAAAATACAAAAAAGAGCTTTTTTTTTTAACTGGAAAGAAATCTATACATCTACTTTTCAAATTCAGACTTTAGATTAAATTTTTTTTCCAGTTTCAGCGATGTTCCCTCGATGCTGGGGTGGGACAGATGACATGTACCCCATTTACACTCCCCCTCTGAAACTGATCTGTGCCAAGTTCAGACAAAGCTTGGATCAGGTAACCGTTCCAAGCTTGGTTCTTATGACCATTTACACATCACGCTAGCACGGCTCCTTGCCTCCTATCTGCGGGACATGATACTACAGCTCTCAAGGCGGGAATTATGAAAACAAAAAAATGGCGCCGCCCATAATATTCAGGAACTTTATGTGCCTGAATAGCATCTTCCAGACAAATTTCCATGAGAGCCTCGGTCTCTGCATCATCCCAGGTCGCAGCACAATCTTTTGATGCCATTTAGGGTTAATAGGCTAAGAAGAAGTTTGTGTTTTTAACAGGTGAAGAGATCTGTGAATTGCTAAGCCAGATGAGCTGGAAAACCTCAAAATTAGTCAGCTGACTATAAATAGGAGAAGAAGCAGTCCGCCCAGACTCTCTTTGTTATCAGGAAGCTGAGCCACCAGCACTAGATTTAGCGCGGTTTAGTTGTGTTTGGCACAGTCTAGTTCAGTTGCATTACATTTAGACTTAACTTTTATCTTGTTACCATGCTCGGACTCTTCTCAGCGCGGTTTCCAAAGAGTAGTGTAAATGGGGCTATGGCTGATCAGATTGTGATTTACAGCTTGGGCCCCTGAAGAATGGCCCCTTAGTGTTGTATTCGGTAGAAAAGTTTTGCAAACATAATAGAGATCCTATGTTCAAGTGACTGATTTTAATAACAATGCCATGCTTCACTGTTTTAAAGACATTTTAATTTCTGTAGATCCTGAATGCGACACATGGACACATTGTTAAGGAGTCTGAGGTGTCAGTCTTATAAGTCCCGATAAGTCATATAAGTCCCGACTCCACACAGAGGAACCTGCAGTGAAAAAAACCTCTGAAAATGAAAAAAAAAAAATTTGAATCTGAAAAGCTGTTTTAAAATCTTTCCTTTATTATAGTTTCAAAAAAAAAAAATCTTAGTTACTAAAGCAATGTTTAACAGACTTTATGGCCCAAATTTAGCTCCATAAAGAAAATTAAAACAAATACTTTTAACTTATAGCAAGTAGTTAAACTCATAAATGTATTTATGTAGGAGCTGTATTCTGTTTTTAATGTAGGGGACACAGTTAACATGCAAGTAGCATTTTCCTTACATGCAAAACCCTGTTTGTAGATGAGAACTACCACCGAGCTTTCACCCTGAAACACAGAGGAGGCTGCATCATTCTTTGGGGGTGTTTTGTTTTGTTTTTGTTTTAGTTTTTTAGCAAGGACAGGGAAGCCAGTCAGAATAGAAGGAAAGATGTTTGGAGCCAAAAAAACTAAAAGAAAATCTGTTTTAGGCAGTAATTGAAGAAAACTACCCTAAAGACTGAATCTGATCTAAAAATATGTTGTTTTTTATATAAACGCATCTTCCTTTACTTTGAGCAGGTAGAGAAGAGTGTGTTGTGTTATGCAGTGTAAATAAGATAACAATTGGGTTTTTTTTCTAACATGAATCATCTTATTCTGTTAGCAAATTGTTATTACTTGTTCAAAAAAGGAAAAATGTACTTAATTTAAGAAAAAAATGACTTTCATACTTTTTTCATGCAGGTGGGTTTTCTCATAAACACTGCAAAAATAATAAAAAGTGAATTTTTTATTTCTTGAAATAAGTTAATTTCCCTTGATTGAAGAAGGTAACAGAGTAAATCTTCTAATAAGATCATTTTCTTTTAAAATCAGAAGAAAAAGAAGAACTTCTTTGAAGAGCATATTATGTAATTCTCTTATTTCAAGGGGAAAATTCTGCTTCAGTTGGGAAATAATCTTATTTACCTGCTTGGATCAAAAGGAAAGGTGCTGATTTGAAGACTTGTTTATTAATTTTGAATCCTTTTTTGCAGATCATAAACCATAACTAATTTGCCTGATCGTTTGATTCCATTTTTTCTGTAAGGTATTTTAAGTTGACGTGTTGTGAATTATTGCTGTTGAAAAAAAACTAAAAAAACGATCCTCCAAAATCCCAGCCTGATCGATGACTGCTACAGAGGAGAGCAGAGATGGTCCTAGGACCATCCTGAAAAGCATCCTTCATCACATTCACGCTGTAATTAGAAGTTATTTCAGGAAACAGACTCATCTAACAGGACGGCATCCAAATGCCAGAAAAGACTCAGACAGGAACCGGAGCCTTTGCTCCAAACCCAAAGCCCTTTCTGAACCATAATCACAGAGCGTCCTGTATGTTTAGCTGCTGTCCCCATGGCTGACCTTCTAACCTCCATCATGGAAACATTTGCAAAAAGAACCATAAAAGAACCAAGACTGATCACCAACATGAACTCTGATTGGAGAGACTCCCTGCTCTAAGTCCCAGTGATAAAAGGCCTTACCTTCTCTTGTGCAGCTGCAGTGATGAATGCCACTGTGGAAGCAGAAGGTGGAAGGAGAGCCGTCCTGTCCTCTCTCTCTCTCTGGTTGGCAGAGGGAGTGGTGGGAGTGGCAGGGGCCTGCCTTTGTAAACTGTGGCCTGCTCCGCCACAGAGGGTGACACAACATAGACCAGTGTGGAACCTATGTGGAAACCTGCACACGCTCCTGTGTGGAGAAACCACAGACGACCAAATCCTCAGAAGTGTTTCTTTAAAAAGGTGTGAAGGTTTTCCACCGAATAAATAAAAAACAACAACAAAAACTGAGCGTTGGGTTGGTCTGTCTGCATGAGCTCTTTTATTGAGATAAGAGGCTGATGTGGGGAGAAATCAATGATTTAACGGTAGTTATGTGATAACCTGTGTTGGGCATGTGGCTTTATTTTAACAGAGAGCAGATTTTCTCCACAGCTGCTCAGGGGTTGCATTTAATTACAGGATAAGAAATTCCTCGGCAAGACATGAAACAGCTTCTGCGCCGCATGTTGGATGCGTGTGGATGTCACGCTTACTGATTAAAAAGATGGAACCTGTTGCTGAAACTCAATACAGCTCTGGGTTTTTGAGTGAGTCTTGTTGTTTCAGACATGTTTTCTTGTTACACGTCTTGGTCTCCTAGGATTCTCTAAAGCAATGGTTCCCAAAAGTATTGATGATTGTCCAAAAGTAGAATGTAAAATAACGGTTTTATTTCATTTGAGCATTTTATTTTTAGGCATTTTATGCTTTCCATCTCGATTAAAAAACAAACAAACATAAATTTGTTGCCTGGAAGTTATAAGGAATAAATGCAAATAAATTCATAATATAAACCTGTATTTCTAAAACTGGAGCTCCTCTGAGAAACTCCCTTATAATCACATTTAAACTTGATGAATTTGGAAAAAAAATGCAGAACAGAAATTATACTTAGACTGACTTTATTAGTTTTACTTTGTTTTCATCAAAACACCTGAGCTGCTTTGATGATCTCCTATAGCTCAGTGTGAAACCAGCAGACCCCAGGTTGTTCTCTACATCCTGTCTGTTCATCTGCTTGGTTTGAATGTGTGTCAAAGCTGAAGGTGAACTCACACATATAATAAAAAGTTACTTTTTGGTTGATAAAAGCTTATTTTTCAATTGGGTCTTCGCAAAGCAAAACTGATCCCAGCCCTATTTTAATTTCCTACCTAAGAAATAAGATATTTTTATGTACCCATTGCAATGCACCTGCAGACCACTAGGGGTATGTGTACCCCCGGTTGGAATCATTGATCTGAAGGACCAACCTCTGCCTTTGTCTAAGGTCTTGGAACATTATACCAGGTCTCTACAAACCATCACAGGTGACTGGTTATTTCATACATTTTGTGGATTTTGAAAAGACTTGCAATCATATTGTTTGAAGCATTTCATCGGTTGCTAATTATTCAGCTGGAAAGGGGCCTTTAAATTTGGTTAAAAACACTTTTTTCTAAACTATAAAGGGGTGTGATACTGAAAAGAAATGTTTAATAATATAAATAATAAAAAAAAATTGAAATAATAATCCATCCATCCATCCATTATCTGACACGCTTGTCCCGAGTCGCGAGGGTGCTGGTGTCTATCTCCAGTTGTCTATGGGTGAGAGGCGGGGTACATCCTGGACAGGTCGCTAGTCCATCGCAGGGCAACATGGAGACAAAAATGACAAACAACCACTCACACACTCACACCTAAGGCAACTTTAGAGAAGAGAATTAACCTCACAGTCATGTTTTTGGACTGTGGGAGGAAGCTGGGGTACCCGGAGAGAACCCATGCATGCTCAGGGAGAACATGCAAACTCCATACAGAAAGACCCCTGGCCGGGAATCTAACCCAGAACCTTCTTGCTGCAAGGCAGCAGTGCTACTCACTGTTCCACTAAGCATTAAATAATAATAATCAAAATATTATTTCCAGGTTAGTGTTTTTTTTAAAGTTTCAAATTTGTTTTGCTGGTCCCTCCTTGTGGGACTTAGATGACATGAAGGATGACTGACAGCTTTGATGCATAAACAAACAGGAGTTGCATGGTTGAATGTTTTAAAAGCAGCTATTTTTCAAAACCAATCCCACAGATATAGAAAAACTTTTCTGTTGTAAAGACATTTCTGGTTTCCAGTGTTCCTGAATGCAACACCTGTGGCTGTTTCCTTCAGGCTTCTAAAGCTGTCAGTCATTTTTTTAATGACTCATTCAAGTCCCGCCCCCACACTTAGGGAGCACCAGTTTTGAAACTGGACAACAAAGAATCTGTTTTATACATTTCTTTTCAGTTCATTTTGATTTTCTAGTTTCCAAATCAAATAATTTTTCAGAATAATTTTTTTTCTGATGAAGTTTGAGTTTATGGCCCCAATTTAACTCCATACAGAATTCGATCTAAATTCTTCTTCTACATGGATTCCCTAGGGCTTCCTCTTGTACTCAGCCTGTTTCTGATGTTCATGGGCACAATGACATTGTTTGGTCACTTGTTGTTGAACTTATAGGCTACATATAGAACAATGCAGACAGTAGGGTTTGCTGAGGGATTTAAACATGTCATGATCTTGGCACTGATTACTGGCTTAATTAATCATTCCATTCACCTGTCCAACTCTGCCCGGTTTTCATGACTGTTCATCTGATTCACCTGTTTCTGCCTCTATTTAAGGTGCTTGCATTCAGCTATCAGACCCAGATTCTCATGTTCTTGGATGCCAGTGGTTAGAGGGTTTTGGCGTACCTTAGTGTTTCTGATTTCCTGATCCTGACCTGTTCTGCCTCTCAATCACTGAGCCTGTCTGTTATCATCTGAACGGTTTGCCTGAACTTCCTTCAGACTCCTGGAATACTGAACTAGCCTGTTCCTGTTCTGATCTCTGGGCAGCACCCTCTGCATTCTGTTGGCAGCCCACTGGCTGGATCCAACCATGCTGTCTGGAAATGGACTGCACTGTTAAACCAGAGTTTCCTGTGATAGATGCCTTAGCCGCTGCAACTACAGCTCTGTTTTTTTTTTATAAACGCTTTTTAGTTATCCTACTGTCTGTCTTGCCTTGAATACTCCTCTGTTTTGAAACATTACAGCATATTGGATTAGGTTTTCAACCAAAGAATGGATTAACGTAACCACCTGCTGTAAGGCTTTGCAACCCCTTCTTCTTTTATGTCATTAAATCCCACCTTCTGTGTCGGTTAGGGATCCCATCACACAGCAGAACATTTAAAACCAGCCCAGGGAGTTTAAAGTTTGTACCAAAATACTAGATTACGCTATCTAATATGCAATTTAAGGGAAACCAGCATAATTGGGCAAAAACTCTGACTTCTAGGTTATGGCAAAAATGCCCTTATGATCCTTTATATTTATATCAGTTGAATCAACTGAAATTAAAGGGTACTTACCTAAATTAAGACCTCAAAACGGTTTGAGGTGAACTTGGGACAACACAGCAAAGGAAAGAATAATCCATTATGTCTATATTTAAACAATTATTTTCAAGATTAAAATTAATGATTTCTTTTCTGGATTAATCCATTTTAATATTCACTTTTTTCCACAAGGATTGGCAATTATTGGACAAACAGGCTACACTCTACTCTGCAAAAGATTTTAATCTAAATAAGTCACTATTTCTTAAAATAAGTGCATTTTTTTCTTGAATTGAGGAGGTAAGTGAGACACTTTGCCAATGGAACAAGATAATTTACATTAATATTATTTTAAAATAAGAAAAAGCAACTGCATGCATTATTATAAGAGTAAAAATACTAGTTTCATTGGCAAATCATCTTATTTACCAACTTAAATAAACTTAATTTAAGAAACGTTGACTTATTTCTAGATGATTTTTGCAGCATAGACCGATCGCTAAAAGACAAAGAACCATGCATGCTCACACCTTCAATATCATGAGGGACATTAAGAAAAGCCAGTTGGCCTAATATGCATTAGCAAATGAGATTAATCCGAATAGCCTCTATAAATATAGATCTGGGGGAAAAGGCACCATCATTTGTAAGAACTACACCACTGCCTCTCTTAACATAAATGGCTTCCTTCACACCTCTTTCAAACCACCTGTCTCCTTTGTCCAAAATGTGAAAATTCTGGTCCTCAAACGAATGTGCTTTGTCCTTAAGGTATAGATGGAAAGCAGAGTCCACCTCCACCACTCAGAGTCCACTGTGCTTTCCACCTACAGAGCTACCCAGGGTTTAATGCAATACAACATTACACATATTTTAAATAGAGATTCTGTAAAGTTTATGTTTATGTAAGGATTATGGAAAACATCTTTGATAAAACCTTATCAGGCAAGGACCTGCTAATTCCTTAGACCTTATCTATCAGTCGCCCTCTGATAGAGGTCATGTCTCCTGATCCTGGTTTTTCAGTCAGTGGTAATTCTGTCTGCTTTTAAACTGTTCTCTCATCTCTTCATTGAGTTTGTAGAGAGTCCAAAAAAAAGCCAACTTTGGGGATACATTTGATATTTTCTGAATAAATTCAGATCTTAATTTTATATCATCGGCAGTCAGAATCCTGCACTGTGGAAGCCTGGTGTGTCACTGCCCTCTACTGGAGCTCAGTGGTAATTGTTTTCACTTCCCTTTAAAGTCCCATTGGGCAAGACTGACAGTTTTTTTTATTGTCAGGGTTTCTAACATAAATTACTGTTATTATGATGGGAATCTACTTTAGCTTCTAAATGTGCCTCAGATTCTACAACATTGTTTTGATGTATTTATATCAGCAAATGTGACTATTTTCTGTGAGTCTGCATCATTCAGACAGTTTGCATAGTTCTGATTCTCTATTAAAAAGAAAAAGCTTATTATGTTTTATATGGAAATTACTATGTTTAAAGACCCACTCCATGTCCAACCAGCTGCCTATACATTCTGTTTGTTTTCCTCTAGGGGGCAGCATTGTCTTAAATATTTATAATAGTATTCAAGTATTCATACTATCGTTCATTTCTACGAACTTCAGTGTATTTTATTGGTATTTTTCTGAATCAGACCTATGAAAAAAAAACTGCATATAATTAAAGCATAAAGTAACCAGATGAACTTCACAGTTTACTGTATTTTCACTCAACCTGCCAGCTGTTGACTCAGAACAATAAACCAACAAAGCTTCAGTTCAAAACAGAAATGTGAGTCAAACAGAAACTGTGTCTTTCTGCTGTGTGGGTTTTGTTTTTGTTTTGTTTTTTTGTTTAAAAAATGATAATTTTTCATTGAGTGAAGTTACTCACTGATGGAGCAGTCAAATATTTTACTCTGGCAAGAGAAGTGATACTTCATTGTATTTTTTATCAAGTAAAACGTCCAATTCAGAAAAAATACTCCTAATATTGCATTAAAGATGACTTGTTTTTTTTTATTATAAACCAGTATAACCTTTATATAACATTTAATCCACACTTTTGTATTTTAGACTTTGAGCCTCTTGCTTCTCCATTATGTTTATTCAGTATTAATAATAATGGTATATATTTTTTTACACTTGGATTGATGCAACAGCTACTCTCTCTTTGTTCAAAGACAGAATTATAAAAGATTAGGAGTAATCAAATGCTTAACAACAGCTAAATTACTGGTTATAACAGTTTCACCCATGATGACGTCCACTTACTTTTTAAATTATCTCTTATGGAACTACATTACAGAGGATCTCCAAAACTACCTCAAGATGTCATGAGAATTCAGAACTCGATTTTATAAGTGTGACACATTAAGATGTTGAAACATTTAAGGTAAATAGAGAAAGAGATTGTATAAAAATAAAAGGAAACATTGACGTCCTATGAGTCCTATGACCGCCCAGCCAACGGCACATCCTAACTAAGTAGAAACTGAGGAGAGAAAATAGAAATATCAAAATAAGGTCTGTTTCCTTGTTATCTGGGTCTTTATCCAAAAATAAACAGAAAAATTAGGAAAGAAGTGTTTCATTTAACCTTTAAGACTTTATTTAGGAAAAAAATTGTCACGGAATAAGTTTATTTGCCCTTAATTTGAACTGATAAATAGAAGGGTCAGCCAAAGGAATGAGGAATTCTGTCTACAAATAACATAATGATTGTTATGCACTTCAAATAAGGTGATTGTTTTTTTTTTTATCTTAAATTCAAATCATCTTATTCCATTGGTAGATTGTCTCACTTACCTGAACAAATCAAGTAAAAAAACACTTTTTCAACAACAATCTATTTACAATACATCCGTTTTTGCAAGGGAAGAGAACTCTATTCCATTTTAAAATCATTCAAACAGAACATAGAAGGAAAAATAAAACCAATTAGCCTTCTATGCTTTGCTAAGGTACACCTTTCTAAATAATAAACAACATATCTATTTTATTATATGTATTTTTAGTATATAAGAATATGCTTCTACCCTCTTTTTATATATCTTGTATATTTTTAATTGGTGGTCCATATTACTCCTCTTCTTTTCTCAAGCCACTTTGAACTTTTGATCGATAAACTTTATTCTCTGCTAAATAACAAAGAAAAAACGTTTGTCAGTCTCCCTGTGATTGTACGGATATGTTAAGTAAAACTCCCTGGATTCACAAAATAAACTCTTTTTGTTCTGTTAACTGCTGATCTGAAAAACCAGCTTCACGATGCTCCATAGTACATATGAGAGATGAAGCAAAAAAACCATAAACAAGCGAAATCAAATGTT